AAAAATGTTTTATTTGATCTTGTATGACAGGGTAATTATAGGGGGTTGTAGTTGAGTAGTAGAATAGTAGAGTTCCTGAAGGTGCAGTGTCGTGCAATGTCTATCTTTCATCATCTTTTCAAGGTACATCAGCATAATTGACTTGTGTCTTTAGCCTCTGGTGTGTCAACCCTGTGGTATATCAAATACATATACAAAGTCTTGTTCCTGATGCATGGTTTTATTAGATTGGCTGAAACCTTATTGATCACCTTAGATACCAAAGCCGTTTACTCATTAATACTACATGCTTTGGCTAATGTAGCTTTGAAGCATCATTTGAAATTGTATAATGCCTATTCTCCTGAGATGCAGTCATTTTGCTAATGCAGGTGAATTGTTTAGTTACTTATAATTAGTTTTTGTTTTATAGGGTTTGCCATCTGTAGATATGTGGAGCTTGTATTGTTCCACCGTTTCCCACATTTACATATACTTGTGGGAAGTACACTATATCTTCACAGTTACCGTCCTATTGGTGTCAACATCATTTGATAAGGCACTATAATTTTTACACAGATCTACCTAAATGTTTGAGTTGCTTCAATGAACATTGGATTAAAGGCCAGTGTTGATGGGCTTTAATGGTCAAATGCTGGGTGCTTTTACCATCAGTTTGAAATGCTTTTGAGATCATTTAGAATTCATGTGCATTTGTCCTGTGATTGGCTTTCTACTAACCTGCAATTTACCAGTAGTTGACCTGTTTCTGACCTGCTTTAAACTGTTTGCTTCCCCAAAGATTTTATGGGGAGATGCAGTTCTGAAGTGAACAAACGCCTGTTGACACTGGACCTAAAGCAGGTGTAAACTTTAACTGAATTATGTTTAGTTTTTTAAAGCACTGTGTACCATAAGCAATTTCTATTTTCAATAGATAAAATATTTGTTTTACCTTTATCCATCTTTGGTTGCATCTCTCTGGTGTTGATCTTCTGAAGCCTGTTTGCAGACACTTCCTCTCTAGTTGCATGCACTCCAGTACTAGGTGCATGGCATTTCTCAGGGAAGACAGCAGTGGAACATTTACTGTATAGGGGTTTGACTATACACATATTTGACTATACACATATACACAAAACATGAAGCAGAAAAAAATACACTAAGTGCAATTAGTTGTCACCCTTAAATATACCATCAGGGCAATTCCAGGTGGTGAGTTTATTCATACTTTTTAAGAAGATTCCCAGCTGTTAGCCTGGCAGGTTATCCACAGCGGTCTATGTTAGATTGCCTCTCTAAGTATAAGAGAAGGCAATTTATGTAAGTACATACAGCCATGCGTTTTTGAAAGCAGATCGTGACACATTGACTAGAATGAACAAACCCTGGTTTGACACGAGTAAAAATGTGCAAAAACGCAGCACATGCGTGTTTTTGAGCGTTTCCATTGTAGTCTATGGGGCCAAGAAGCGCAGAATCTGCCAAAAAGAAGTTCATGTATTTTCTTTAAGTGACAGGCAGTTTGCAACAAAACGCTCAGATGTGAACATGGCCATAGAAATTAATGTGTTTTTTTTAAAGCATTTATTCAAGCAGAAAAAAGGCTACAAAACGCTTAGTGTGAATGAGGCCTAAAAGTGATATTAAAGTTTAAAAGAGAACTATGGAGTAAGTGTTTTTCCCCATAGTTCTCTTTAGGGTCACGGGAGGACATATACTAACCTCCTCCAGTGACCCTAAGCTCAGTATATAACACGGGCTATTGGACAGCCGGGACAGATCAAGACAAAACTGTTGAGATCCGCCCAGCTGCATGAGTGACAGCTGGCTCTGCCTATCTAGAGGCAGAGCCAGCTGTGCCCGCCCCTTCCCCCATTCGTTCCTCCACTCAGCGGAGGATCTGAGAGGGGAGGGGGGGGAATCCCTGTGGGGACCAGTGACTGACAGTCACAGCTCACTGCAGGGAGACGATCGAGAGTGAGCAGAACGTTGCATGTTTCCGCTCACTTCCCGATCTACTGAGCCGACCTGTGAAAGCTTCTTTGTCACAGGTCGGCTCTAACTATGAGGATGAATGGAAATCACTCACCTCATAGATCTCCTTTAATTTTTTTTTTTTCCATCTAGGATGCCCACCTTCTTATAAAGTGTCTGTTCTTTGTCTTCAAAAAGCTTCCATTCTTCGTTTTCCAGTGGGTCCCCACAGTGCTCATCCCCCTGCATAGGTGCCACCAGCAGCTAAGCAGCTGAATGAAGGCACCCGTGCGTGCGTGTTCCCGCAGTGGCTGTTTGCATCCATAGACACACACGCAGCCCTGTGGCTGGCCACGCCCCTCCTCTCCCCCCTAAAGGGTAGTTGACGGCAGAAGAAGCCTATGGCTCCTCTGCCCTTAGTATCCAGGGCTGTAGCTACCATGGGGCGAGTGAGGCACTCGCCTCAGGCGCAGCTGAGAGGGGGCGCAGCCAGGGCCAGCCTGGCTGCGCCCCCTTGTCCCTGTTGCCATGGCAAGCACAGGGCGCCATTGGCAACAGGGGTGCCAGGTGGCCAACACAGCCGCGACTCGGCATGGAGAGGAGGAGCGGCACAGGCTCCAGCTTCTCCTCGGATCCGTATTGCTCTCCCCACCTGTATGTGCAGAGGACTCTTCGTCCTTAATCTCTTTTTCTATTTCAAAAGGGAAATGTCAGGGGTCTCTTTAGACCCCTGATATTTCCCTGAAGCCCCCCAACAGTGAAAAAAATTATAATAAAAAATAAATAAAAACAAAAACACCCCCCACACACACACATTACTAGACATGTGCAAAGACTAAAAATTAGTTTTGGACGAAATGAACGGAGACTAAAAATGTTTTCATTAGTTTCGTCAAACAAAAATGTTTTAATGCTATTTTGGATTTGGCCACCAGCGCACTTTTCGCATGCGCGCCGCCATCCTGGAGGCGGGCCGCATGACATCACTTACTGCACATGTCTGTTGCAGGCGCACAATATTCTGTTCTTGCCTCGGGCGCAAAAGGAGCTAGCTACGGCTCTGGGTCGCCCCTCTCATCTGTCCCTCCAATGAGCACTGGAGAAACGGAGAGGGGGGAATCCCTGTGTGGAGCAATGACTGACAGCGAGTAGACTCTGCAGGGAGAAGACTGTGAGCTGAGTGATCAGTGTAATGTGATCGCTCAGTTCTCGATCTATAGATCCGGTGTGACAGCTACAATGTCACACGTCGGCTGTAATTATAGGGATTAGTGTATTTCACTCTCCCCATAATTCTCCTTTAAAAGCTGGAAATGCATATCAATGATGCATGACAACACAGGAAACACGCTGCTGCATGACAATAAACATGCCTATAACTTAGAACACATCTCTACGTATACATATAGATCTTAATTGACCCAAGTTTGTACACAAAAACATTGCTCTCCCCACCTGTATGTGCAGAGGACTCTTCGTCCTTAATCTCTTTTTCTATTTCAAAAGGGAAATGTCAGGGGTCTCTTTAGACCCCAGATATTTCCCTGAAGCCCCCCAACAGTGAAAAAAATAATAAAAAATAAATAAAAACAAAAACACCCCCCCCCCACACACACACACACATTATTAGACATGTGCAAAGACTAAAAATTAGTTTTGGACGAAATGAACGGAAACTAAAAATGTTTTCATTAGTTTCGTCAAACAACTTTTTTTTTAATGCTATTTTGGATTTGACCACCAGCACACTCTTCGCATGCGCGCCGCCATCCTGGAGGTGGGGCGCATGACATCACTTACTGCACATGTCTGTTGCAGGGGCACGATTTTCTGTTCTTGCCTCAGGCGCAAAAGGAGCTAGCTACGGCTCTGTCAGTATCCTCCGCCCGCAACCAGGAATTTCGGGGGACAAGTGGATCGTTTCAGGGACCGGCGATTGTGACAGCGCTGACAGGAAAGTGATGGGGCAACACAAAAAGGTATTGATAATTTTTTACCTTAATGCAGAGAACGCATTAAGGTAAAAAACGGTCTTTAATACTACTTGAAGTACCAATAGGAAGTATACTTCTCACGACCCACAGAGGAAAAGCAAATTATTTTTGCTGAAAACTTTACCCAGGTTCCTCATAATTCTCCGGTGTCAGTGAAAGACTGCCATGTTTTCCTATGAAATTCTTAAATGATGTCTATGAATTAATTGAGTGTAAAGAGAGTTGTAATATTTTAAAGAGACTTTGTCATCTCTGTCACTCTACCTATTCAAGACAAAGTCACAGCCAATTGCAAGGCTTGCACTTGCACTTAAACTAGCCTTCCCCATCACTCTTTCAGAGACCTGTTAAAATAACTGTTTCATTCAGATATAAGGAAAGCAATGGATCTCCTTCCAAAGTGCAGTGTTTATGGGCGGGAGGGGGTGACGTCATCAACCCCTTATAAGCTCCAACGCCATCAGCCATGAAACTCACATCAGGTTTGTTACTCAGCGTCACCAGGTGCTATGAGAGCATGGTAAAGGTGAGCATAGATAGGTTGAGGAGGTGGGCTAGCAAGTCACTTTGTCCTGAATTTATATTCCATGCTGAATTACTTGCGTGTAAGGAAATATACTCAAAATAAGTAGAGACATGAAATTAAAACACATACACTTTTTCAATAACAATCTCAAACATTAATTCTTATAAGAAAAATATTTTTATATATTTATATGTATATATAATAAGAGTGACTTCCATAGGAAATAACACACTGGGATTCATGGTTCAAGGTTGTTACAAGAGGAATACAATTACCATACATAGTATATACATACCAATCAGAAGCTGAGAATTTTCTGGTGTCAAACTATAAAACTTGCTAAAACTCAATTGAAACTAAGCACGTAAACCTTGTGGCTAGATCCTTTGAGATGGCAATTAATTAAAGTCAGTGCAATGTAATGTGACTGATCATTCCAGCACTGAGACAAGTATATGGTGAATTCTGCTGCCAAAAAAAAACTTAATGGGGAAGGAGGTAGCACAGTTATCCTACAAAATGTGTTTTTTTTTTAAAGTCTGGAAACATAACTCAATAAAAATGCTAACAAAGATTACCACAGACTGAAATGAAATCAAAATAGAGTGTTATTGAACAGTGCATTTCCAACTGGCGACAAGGACTCGCGCTCACAGTGTTCAACAGACAGTAGTTACGGCAAAGCTTGGTCACATAAGGATTTGTCAAGGTCATGCTTGTACAAACAGTCCACATCAAAGCTGTGCCACAATAGAAAGAGAGAAATAATCAAATACAGTCTCTTAAAAAGTGAAGTATCGGGCAAACCATTCCTGGTGTTGCGGGTCTGGTGATGCCACCGGTGAAGTCTCATTCTGGGGAGGGCTATATCCCAGAGAGAAAGGAGAGATGCATTAGAAAGCGTACAGGTTAAACACATGGCACACAGGAGCTGCGATAAAGCAGACTTAGTCACAACCTGCAAGCACAAAGAACAAGCCAAAATCCATACTGCTTCTTTTCCTTTAGATTGTCCTTGTGTGACACCTCGGCACATCCACTACATTGCAATACATCAGCAGCCCAGGCTATCATAGGTTAGGAAATTCCTTTATATTGGATAAAATGAAAATACGGAATGGCATATTTATCCTATATGCCTTTGGTCTGTTTTGAAGCCCCTCTTTTAGTCTCCTTTTAATTAGAACAATCATTTGTGAGAAGTATTATTACCAGAGCCAGGTTCCACAGGAATGTGCTGAACTAGCACTGTATACTTCTCATCTGCTAAGCACAAAACACATTAAATTGTCAGGCTAGGGACATTCAGTTCAATGATATTACCTGAATGTGTCATGCAGTTATTATTTATAACACACTGAAAACAACAAATATGTAGATTCATGTGGGGTTGAATGGAAGTGCTCATTTACATGTCCAACTGTATTGTGTTACATAGGGAGGAACTGCATGTTATTTCTGAAGGTCCACTAAACAGAAGTTTACTATACAACATACCATTGTATATAAAGAAGCACACATGGACAATTCTTTGGAGGACTTTATCTTGCATGCATGCAAAATATTTATTAAGGAAACATTAATATATCCATGCTCATAAAAATGTGCACTGTTGGAATAAATACAATTGAAGCATGTATATGGTGTGTTCAGTATTCTTTCCTGTATTTTAAAGAACAAAATATAGATATATACTGCTTTTATATAGAATTACATGTATGTATTATAATTAGTTTTATTATGTGTAATTAGATTTTATGCAATAAAGGTTTTACCAAGGGGCATATTGAAATATGAAAATGACTGATCTGCTGATCAGCCACTGCTTTACCATCGTTACAAAGTGCTCACACTGGCCAAAAGTGCTATGAATATTCACCAGTTAAAGTTACATTTGGCCATCATCTAGAATTCCCATTTTGTAATAGGAAATCAAGGTCTCTGTAACATTTACTGTATCTATCATACATCCCATATTACTTTCAGCAGCTTTCAATCCTTTGCATTTATAACCACAGATATTGGCACGCCAAGCATCTGATCACTTATGCTTGAAGTGTATTTCAAGGCAAATTTTTAGTGTTTAATATGTGTGATTAAGGTATGGACCCCAGTTGGGTTTCTACTATGGATGGACAGCTCCATGCTGTTTGACTGGCTTAATGCTGATTGGCCAGGAAGCCTGCATCCCAGTCAATCAGCATGGTGCCGGCTTCCCAGGCAATCAGGAAGCCGTGCAGCATGTCATTACCCGTGGCCTGGCTCCTTCCCAGCCAATCAGCCTAGAGTCGGCTTCCTGGCCAATCAGGAAGCCGGGCCACAAACCATTACCTGCGGCCCGGCTTCCTGATTGGCTGGGAAGCCGGCTCCATGTTCCCTCATGGCACTGCTGGTCAAAGGAAATCTCCCTCTTACCGGATGTTCCGGTATATGAGTATCAGAGCATTTGGGCGAGTACCAGTACTCGCCCAAATACTTGGTATTGGTGCATCCCTAGTTTCTACTGCTATCCAGGACTCTGTTAGAGAGATTCTCGCCTTAATTTCTGTAACAGTTACATTTGTTTTGGGATGGAAGTGGGCAAACTCTTTTATAAGAGACCCTCCAGAGAGCAGTAAAAAAAAAAAAAATCTGACAGGGGTAGTAACCCTTCCTCTCTCCTGCTGTACATACACGTTAAAATCCTATCTTGCATATGCTGGCATTAGATTGAATCCCAAAAAGCAATGTATTTGGATTTAAACTTTCCTTTCTAAATATGCCCCCAAGTGTAATATTTTATATATGAAATGTGTCACTTGAAGCATTTGAAACAAAACATATGAGGTTTTATTTGTATCAATAGAGGGTGCTCAAGCATTCAGGTGCTGAATACCAATTGCATGAATTTGTCTTTCAGTCACTCTCAGAATAAGCTAGAAAAGCTGTTTTTTGTGTCTATGGGAGGTAAAAAACCACGCAGCTATGATTTAATATTAGATAAGTTGAAGGATAACTTACAATAGGCATTTAATCATACTAGGTTATATAGGAAAGAAAACGCTCAACACCAGTGACATGCACATAAAATGGTTTCAAATAAATATGTATACAAACATGCATAGGCAATTTAAGTACAGAAGGATGACAAAAGGCAACACAGTCAGCAGTCTATACAGTACACTCAGCAAACACTGACATGAGTACAATACATACTCAAAAAAAGGAGCACTAGAAAGAGGTTGCAGAAGCCATATCAAATAATTCAAGGCTATAGCTGTAGTTCAGTGCTCTCATGACCAGTGACAGTTGGGCTGGCGAGGCAGTGCTCACCTCAAAAAGGTCTTGGCCTCTTTGGGTGGTACAGGCTGTGGCAGAGGCTTGCTGCTGTTGAACTCAATATCGTGGATGGGTGAGTTTGGTATGGGCTCCAGTCGTGTAGGGTGTCCGTTTCCCATTACAGCAGTCTCCACTGCACTTAGGTTAGGGGAACTCACAAACCTGTTTGTAGACTTATCATTCTTCTTCTTTTGCTGTTTTGAAAACAAGTGAGGCATTTAAGACTACACCGTAGTTGACTCATGTGTGTGTGATAAATCATAAAAGGACATAGGTGGCATTAACACGATTTGTGCATTGTTGAAAAGGTCATTTCACTAAGCATTAGTTCTATTTTGGGAAGTTGCTGGCAGGTTAACTTACCCACCAGCTGTCTACAGTATATCTCTTGGTGATACTGGTGCGACACCTCTACACCTCATTTCAAGGTCCACCCACCTTCTATAGTGATTATGAGGGGCAATAAATCTTTCTCTCAAATACATCTATTTTGCTACAATGCAACAATTACTACAAGCAGATTGGTTACATAGTACTGGATACTCCAGTGTCATCTTATTAGTTTTGGGTGGACTATACATGATGCACGCTTTGCATCAAAATGCATTATATTCAATATGAACTATATTATTATTTATGTTAAATATTATTGCCTTAAAGCCACTAATCTCTTTTGGGGATACTGCTATTGTCATCAACAATGCAAAACTAATGACCTTATCCTCTAAAACTGATACTCCCAACATGCACTAAAATCCTCAGCAATGAAAAACACAAGTACACTTTATACCTCCAGTTTCTACTCCCCAATTTAAGGACCCATTCACACTTGTGTGTTGCAACACACCTGCTCTATGTGCGGTGAGTTGGGGTACCATTTATTGTAAATGGTACCCCAACACACCGTACAGTAGAGTGCAATGTACAATGCACCGCAGCACAGCACAACACATGGTATTTTTTGTGTCTGTTGTGGTGCGTTGGCAGCCCATTCATAATGCATAAGCGGTCTTAATGCAATGCACATTAACATCTGAAAAACTCGTGCAATAATGAGCATGCATTCAAACACTGCAATCACTTTAGAGTGAATGGGCCCTCAAACGGATGTTTTGTGTTTTTACTTCTGTATATAGAATATTTCTTTTAAAAAAGCACACATTTATTACAGTGACCACCGATGACACTGGTGTCACAAAGCATTGTGGCTTTTAAAAGTCAGCAGAAATTGTTTTCTTCCAAACCATCTCTCTGCAAATGAAGGTTTGTACAGAGAAGAAGGAGTAGAGGAGGTAGGGTGTGTGAGTTTAAGCTATTGAGCTATGTAAACTACCGGCTTCTTCATCAAAATGGTTAGAGATTAGCCTGGTTAACATTTCAATAGAAGCCTACTGCTCAAACTGCTACCTAGAAATGTAAGTCACTCCCTCAAGAAGAGATGTTCAGGGATGCCAATAATTCACTAATGCACCATTCATTCCATTGTTGAATGTGGGCCACAGAGAGTCCCTCTTCTGCACTGTATGAATGAGAGAAACTACAAGGACGGCTCTGGGGTAGGTACTCCTAAAAAGCTATTAAGTTTGTTTTAGCTGCTGGTTTCCTTTGTTACATTTTCCATAGGTTTCAAGTAATAATACTAAAAAGCATGTGTTTTATGTATTACTACTTATCTGTCCTGTTAGTCTGTGGTGTATATATACTGTATGTTCTTAGAAAAATTTAGTAAAACTGGAAACATGTTTATATGTAACACAAATGATCTCCAGGTGTTGTGTACATTATATAACTATAAGTTGTTGAACGTTTCTGGACAATATGCTGGCTATACAATTCAATTTTAGAAGGCTGTAGCATTAGTTGCATCAAGTTCAGGTACACGGCAGTAATTAAGAGGATGTAAAGATCTAATTTCTCAATTACATGGATGAGAGATCTGCCCACGATTGGCTATCTTTAAAAAGGGAACAAGATTGTTTAAACGGAGTATCATATATTTTACCTTAGTGCTAACTGTAAAGCATGAACGGTTGCATGAAATGGAAATGTTACATTACATACTATTTTCAGAGCTGTACCTTCTACTTTATTGTAAAGATTTGTCTACAAAAGCTCTTGAGCTCAACTGAGCATTTCCTCTGATCACCCGCAGAGTTGAAAGAGACAAATTACACCAATGTTTAGTTCAGAGATTCCCCAACTGGGCACTTAACTTATTAGGAAGCAATTCTTTAGCAGTTCAGGATGCAACTAATTGGAGGCAAAGGCTCAGTCACTTAGGAGTACAGGCAGTTATTGCTCTCAGGCATCAATAGCGACTCTTTAATTATTAGCACATATAAAAGACATTTCAGTTATAGTTATAACACTTATAGTTACTAACTAAAACCTGGAAGCTTTGCTAACATAACTAAGAAAATAGTATATGAGCAATAATGTTGTGTGCAGTGAATCATTTGGATTTGATGGAATACAGGGATATTAGGAGGTGTAGTACTCATTGCAGTGAAGCGATTTCTTATGCTTGGTCATAGATATGTGTTTGGTGTCTATTTTTATGAAACAGTATTTAAAATATTTGCATAATGTAATATATATTGTTTTCAAATTAGCTTTAGTTAGGTTGTGGGATATCTAAACTCAAACTAATACAAAATTGTATTATATTTTAACTTATCAATTCTTAGATGTGGTGGATTCATTAGGTTTAATTTTTCAGGCTAAGAACATTTTCAGCAAGTACAAAAAAATACCTTTTGGCCTTGCCAGAAATGCTGTGTCCATGTTGCTTCCTGAATTAAAAGCAGAAACCATATTATCTTCCTCTGTAAACTAATAATTATCCCAAACCTCATGAAATGGAGATTAATAACGGCAGACATATTTGAACTCCAGCCTGAGTGACAACCATGGCTCCTTCAATAGATACAGTGGAGTCTATAAACATTGTCACCCAGGCAGAGGAAGGTATTATTCACAGGATTACCAGGTGAAATAAAAGGAATAAAGCACAAAGAAAGAAAACGAATGCAGCCACCACTTCTAAGGACTGGTAAGCTGCAATATTTGACATTTTTGGTTGTGGGTTTAGATACCCTTGAACCACAAATGGAATAATCCAATATTTGTTCTCCTAAAGACTGCATAGTGCAATGTTGTTGTAAACCTTGTTTATATTACAACATCATCTGTATTTCAGAAACTTATACGATCTTATAGCCATAATTACACCTGAATACTAAGGCTGGGTTCACACCTGGGCGTTTTTCAGCACTGATCGAAGCGCTGAAAAACGCTCAGCAAGTGAAATCCCATACTTTCCAATGAGCATGGTTCCCACCTGGGCGTATTTCAGTCCGTGGAAACGCGCTGAAAAACGCCCTTCGCCTAAACAAGTACAGGAGCTTCTTTGGGGCGTATTTCAGCGCGTATCCATTGTTATCCCAGAGTGTGGCTCGGGGTTAACAAAGCGGTAACCCCGAGCCACACTTGGGAATACAGCGTATGTCTTACCTTGTCGGCGATCCCCGCTGTGCCTTCCGGGTTCTGTCTCTTGCGAGCGTCCGCGTCGCAGGGGGGCGGAACCGGCGGGAAGTTTGAAAGTTAAAAAGAAAAACCCAGAAAAAAGATAGAGAAAATAAAGGGAAAAAAAAATCATACCGCCAGAGAGGTATAAAACGCGCGTTTCACTGAACAAAAAAACACGCAAAAAACGAGCAGAAAAAAACGCGCCTATAGTACGGCCAGGTGTGAACCCAGCCTACACGGGGCTTTTTATGGCATTTATAAGCATGCCATCAGCTGAAAATAGTTCTGAAATACAAAAATTGTGTTGAAGGTTTCTGACAAAAATCTGAAATGTTATTTTGATTCCTAAACACTCATTTGTAATACGTTTTAGACATGTGCACTGCCAAAAAATTTGTTTAGTTTCGTTTCGTTCTAAATTCGGATTTGTGTTATTTCGTTTTTCGGGATTCGAGTGTGAAAGTCAATTCGGATTCGGAATTCGGATTCGGACGAAATTCGGTAGCGGTAGTTCGAACGTTCGTTTCGTTTTCTGTTCTTATTCGTTTTGTTCGTTCGTTTGCAGCAAAGTGACATTTGAGTGGAAAAAATATTTTTCTCCTCTAATGTCGCTTTGCTCCAACGAACGAATAAGAAACGAAAACGAAACAAACGTTCAAACTACCGCTACTGAATTTCGGAAATGGAAATTCAGATTCGTTTGCATTCGTTATGTCTGTAATTCGGAATTCGGATAAATCCGCATGTCCGAATTTCCGAAAATTCGTCCGAATTTCAATTCGGAACGAAACGAATCGCACATGTCTAATACGTTTTATGAATTCATGTAAAAAGCACTGTAGGAGATGTTTATGTATTGGTTGTAGTTGCAAAAACACTGGCATGTCTATAGCCATGAATGCAAAGACAACAGTTTGAAAAATAGATTCAGATGTAAACATTGAGAACTTAGAAGAAACAATTATTATATTTTAACTTATCAATTCTTAGATGTGGTGGATTCATTAGGTTTAATTTTTCAGGCTAAGAACATTTTCAGCAAGTACAAAAAAATACCTTTTGGCCTTGCCAGAAATGCTGTGTCCATGTTGCTTCCTGAATTAAAAGCAGAAACCATATTATCTTCCTCTGTAAACTAATAATTATCCCAAACCTCATGAAATGGAGATTAATAACGGCAGACATATTTGAACTCCAGCCTGAGTGACAACCATGGCTCCTTCAATAGATACAGTGGAGTCTATAAACATTGTCACCCAGGCAGAGGAAGGTATTATTCACAGGATTACCAGGTGAAATAAAAGGAATAAAGCACAAAGAAAGAAAACGAATGCAGCCACCACTTCTAAGGACTGGTAAGCTGCAATATTTGACATTTTTGGTTGTGGGTTTAGATACCCTTGAACCACAAATGGAATAATCCAATATTTGTTCTCCTAAAGACTGCATAGTGCAATGTTGTTGTAAACCTTGTTTATATTACAACATCATCTGTATTTCAGAAACTTATACGATCTTATAGCCATAATTACACCTGAATACTAAGGCTGGGTTCACACCTGGGCGTTTTTCAGCACTGATCGAAGCGCTGAAAAACGCTCAGCAAGTGAAATCCCATACTTTCCAATGAGCATGGTTCCCACCTGGGCGTATTTCAGTCCGTGGAAACGCGCTGAAAAACGCCCTTCGCCTAAACAAGTACAGGAGCTTCTTTGGGGCGTATTTCAGCGCGTATCCATTGTTATCCCAGAGTGTGGCTCGGGGTTAACAAAGCGGTAACCCCGAGCCACACTTGGGAATACAGCGTATGTCTTACCTTGTCGGCGATCCCCGCTGTGCCTTCCGGGTTCTGTCTCTTGCGAGCGTCCGCGTCGCAGGGGGGCGGAACCGGCGGGAAGTTTGAAAGTTAAAAAGAAAAACCCAGAAAAAAGATAGAGAAAATAAAGGGAAAAAAAAATCATACCGCCAGAGAGGTATAAAACGCGCGTTTCACTGAACAAAAAAACACGCAAAAAACGAGCAGAAAAAAACGCGCCTATAGTACGGCCAGGTGTGAACCCAGCCTACACGGGGCTTTTTATGGCATTTATAAGCATGCCATCAGCTGAAAATAGTTCTGAAATACAAAAATTGTGTTGAAGGTTTCTGACAAAAATCTGAAATGTTATTTTGATTCCTAAACACTCATTTGTAATACGTTTTAGACATGTGCACTGCCAAAAAATTTGTTTAGTTTCGTTTCGTTCTAAATTCGGATTTGTGTTATTTCGTTTTTCGGGATTCGAGTGTGAAAGTCAATTCGGATTCGGAATTCGGATTCGGACGAAATTCGGTAGCGGTAGTTCGAACGTTCGTTTCGTTTTCTGTTCTTATTCGTTTTGTTCGTTCGTTTGCAGCAAAGTGACATTTGAGTGGAAAAAATATTTTTCTCCTCTAATGTCGCTTTGCTCCAACGAACGAATAAGAAACGAAAACGAAACAAACGTTCAAACTACCGCTACTGAATTTCGGAAATGGAAATTCAGATTCGTTTGCATTCGTTATGTCTGTAATTCGGAATTCGGATAAATCCGCATGTCCGAATTTCCGAAAATTCGTCCGAATTTCAATTCGGAACGAAACGAATCGCACATGTCTAATACGTTTTATGAATTCATGTAAAAAGCACTGTAGGAGATGTTTATGTATTGGTTGTAGTTGCAAAAACACTGGCATGTCTATAGCCATGAATGCAAAGACAACAGTTTGAAAAATAGATTCAGATGTAAACATTGAGAACTTAGAAGAAACAAGAGCTAATATATGTAATGTACATGCTGCTGTAAGTACCTTTACTAGGGGATTGATAACGCCAACATTGGGACTTGCATTAAACACTTTGTTGAAGTTGGTCTCTCGGTTGACTAATTCGAGTTGATAGAATTTCTTGTCTTCCTGTTAAAAGAAAAATGTTATTGCGACTGTGCTTCTTTCACGCAGCTTTGAACGTCCAGATAATTGCTTTCAAACACTTCACCTATTAATATTTTAAGCACAAATTGTTCGTTGTAAATGCCGTTTCGTTTAATAATTGATTAAATCAGTTATAATTTATGAACTTTTGAGTATTTAAAGATCACTGAATTGTTAATGCCACTGGGTCTCAAAGGTAGCGATTTGGACATTGTTCTGTTAAAGCAAGAAAGCACGGAATTGCTCACAATTAGTTTCTTGATAAGTTGATCCCGTTCAGCAACCATGTCCTTTAATTCAGAGATGACCTGCAGATCCTCTGGCCTGGATTCTCTGTTCTGATATTTTTCCTCCATTTCTGTTAACCTAGCGTTTGGAAAAGCATGGTTTTACATGATTCCCCTTATTATACTCTGAAAACTAAAAGACAACATTCAAAGTGCATGCTTATTATTGACACAAATGTTGATATCCTCATACATGTACAATGGATTAGTTCAAACATATGTCTCTGTGTCCTTTATGAAAGCCAATTTTTCTTACCAAATCGATGAAATAAAATGTGCTTGTTGTAACTCCATTGTATTTGTAAATGTCTACTTGCAAAGACTTTACTCCAAAAACATTTTACTTAAATCTCTGGACCCAAAGTATGAAGTCAGAGTTAGAAGAAACTCCACCTATAAGAATTGGGTCTGCAATCAGCAAATCACTTTTAAAGACTTTGGCAACTGTGATGTTAAGTGTGATTTTATTCTAGATGCTTTAAACATGAAAGATATTTGGCAACTGCAGGAAAAGCATCCTCCTTAACGATCACCTCTAGTGACACACTGAAAAGCCTTTTGTGGAAGCTGTAATATGTTTATTGTGGATGCATTCTCCCCATATAACTTAGGCTTCCTGGGTCTCAGTGACATACATACGGAGTTACACTTAAATAAATGTCCAATCTGACCTTTAGTTTGGGAATAATAAGGAAACAGATATATCAAGCAACTTTAAAACTGTCTCCAGAAGATGGTCATATACTGAGACCCATGATCATAAACAAGTTTTAATGAAACTGTAGAGACAAAAGATAACATTCTCTGGAGGACAGGGGTATCCGCTCTGTCTGGACCACAAGCATCGGGTTATGGCTGGCTGATAGTGTATGCGCTGGCCTCTGAGACTCTCCAAAGCAGGCACATTCACTGTCAGTCAGCCATAAACCAGCACAGTTTCCCCATCTGCTCTAGTTATTAGCTGCTAGGACTGCTGGTGTCCTACAACCAATGATGTCATGTGCCCCCTCCTCAGTTATTGGTTGCTAGAACTGCTGGTGTCCTAGCAACCAATGACGTCACATGCCCCCTCTTCCGCAGTCTTTAGTTGCTAGGACTTGCCTCTCCTGCTTCAGGATGTCCAACTGGCAAATGTTCTCTCACTCCCCTACTTACTGATATGCTACCAGGTAGTACTGCACATGGGAATAGGAGCTATATAAGTTCATTGACTCAGTAGATTAAGATAAAGCATTTGCTTTGTCCCACACAATCACCATCTCTCTTAGGCTACAAGAATGCAATTACAAAATCATTTCAAGATGGTATTGCTGCCCCACAGACATCCACATACTGTATACCACCCAACATCCCTTGACACTTGCCAGAAATACCTTACAGAAAAGGGGAATATGACTCATATTTGGAATGCATGCTCCTTGATCGAAAATGTCTGGAACAAGATCCTAGCAGTTTATAGAAGTATCACAGATATTAAACGAACAAATGTTCCATGCATCACATTACTCTCAATCATACTAGGTACTTATTTAAAAAAAAAGGAAATGTGGCCTCCTAGGACTCTTGCAACCCTCTCCAGACATTGGAGATCAAAAAAATAACCTACCTTCATGGAGTGGGTTTGTGAAGCTGACTCTATTAAACACATGGAGGGGAAGTTATGAAACTGGAGCCGACAAAATCTGGAGCAACTGTACTTGGCAACCAATCAGCTTCTATCTTTCATTTTCAAATCTTAACTGAACAAATGAAGAGAAAAGCTGATTGGTTGCCACGGGCAACTGCTTCAGATTCTGTCTGCTCCAGTTGTGATAAATTCCCCCAATGGTCTCTTGGGAGGAGGACAAATACAGCATTTTTTTTACACGACGAGAGCCCAATGGAACCAGTTTAAGTCCTTAGTAAGTTTTGCGTCTTATCTGTAATAGAGTTATATCCATTAAACCTAACCTTACTACCTCCTCCTCCCCTTTCTATCCCATGCCCCTCACTTACATCTCTAACTTTCCCCCTCTCAATTTTACCTTCCTCCTTTTTTCTTCTTTTCTCTACTTCTCTATTGTTACCACCCCTCACCTTCCCAATTCTCCCCCTTTATCCAACCCCATCCCTTCCCTGTAATGTACTTTATTCCATCACATGAATGGATAAATGATCATAATGATAACATTGTATATGCTTGGTATATAAAGTCTAGGGGCAAACTGAAGTCTTTTTGTCCTTTGATTCGGACTTACGTGCAAACTGTGTAGACTTTACTTCTCCACTGTCCCTCATGTTTGTTTTATACATCAGGTATTATCAACACTACACTGTGTGTTTCCTCCACGGGGAAATTATATACAATGTACTATGCAATGCTTATACTATTGTTTACTTTGATTGTTTTAAAGAAGAAGTCCAGGAAAGGTGCGAAAATAACAAAGTTATACTCACCTGAACCACGGAGCTGACAGTGCTCCTTTTAACCTGTATCCTTCTCTGCTCCAGTGATGGTATGTTTCTTGGCATCCTCACGTTCAATACACAGTGTATTCGACGCAATGACTCATGGGATCTTAGACTGCTTGAGCAGAGGGGAAGAGAGGCTGCAAGGACAGGTCTAACAGCAAGCTGGCTCCAAGTATCAGATGAATATAACTTTTTATTTTCGCAACCAGATGAAAACAAGTACTTAACCCTTGCAGTGCGCGGTACCCACACTGCCAGGGTTACAATTTATTTTTCTTCTATAATACAAAAGAAATGTATTAATTAAAAAGTCATGGCTCCTAACAGTGGGTATAGAATTGAGAGGCACTGACAACATTTTTAAAACCTGCACGGAATTTAGGCCACTTCTATTTCGTGGAGAGTTTGCTGCAGTGAGCCTTCTCAGTATTTCAGAATGTAATGTAGAGGAAAGAAAATGCCTGCCAGCAAGCATCTCAACAGTAACAACTAAAGTATTGCATTTTCTATATGCAGAATAAAGAGGTCTCTCAAGCCTATACTTCCATTCCTTGACAGCCTTTTTAACATAAAGTAATCCATTCAGTTTCCCACATCACACGGACAGCAGATAATCATTTATTAGAAAAATAGCTTAATAATACCATTTGTTGCCACGTAGCTTCACTTCAAAGTAGTACCCACAACTAGAGGTTTCTTGCCTACCTCAGCATAAAATACTGAAGTAATAGAGGAAGTGGGCTTATTATCCAGGAGATAATAAGACAGTGACAGTTTTTGGTAAACTACAGCAATAATATGGATTTTGCTTAATTGTCAGCGTAATTTAAAGGAAAATTATAGGAACAGTGAATTACACTCATCCCCATAATTAGAGCTGAGTTGTGACACTGAAGCTGTCAAATGTCGGCTCTATTGATCGAGAACTAAGCAGTCGCATAGCGCCAATCGCTCAGTCCCCCATCTTCTTCCTGCAGAGAGCAGTGACTCTCAGTAATCGCTCCCCGCAGGGAATCCCCCCTCCCCTCTCTCTATTCCTCCAGGGCTGACTGGAGGAACGTACAGGGGAGAGGGCGGGCACAGCTGGAGCTGCCTCTAGAGAGGCACAGCCAGCTGTCAATCAGGCAGCGGGGTGGATCCCGACAATATTGTTGGGGTCCGTCCCAGCTGCAGCGCAGCTCTGAGCAGTCAGCATAAATTGGGCAATAGCCCACTATATGCTGAGTTTTGGCTCACAGGAGGACATTAGTATATGTCCTCCTGTTACCCTAAAGAGAACTATGGCAAACAAAGGTTGGGCCATAGTTCTCTTTTAATCTTTATATTTTCTTTTGGTAGTCAGCGCAAGCTCCCCTATCTGTCCACCTGCTACTTTACACCTCCTGGCTCAATAGCAAACATATATTAGTTGATACTTTCCATGCTTCAGTTTCGCTCCATACCCTGGGCCATGGCGCCAATATGGCCAAATGAGGTGACTGCCTCAGGCAGCACTCATAGGCGTGGGGGTGATAGCACTGAGTCCAGAGTTTCCATACCAAACAATCTATTCTCAGTGCAGCTTGGTAATGCTGAGCCTGATAAAATCACAGGGTCAGCATTACTGAGTTCACTGCCTGACCACTGAACCTGTTTTCAGGGGGTGGGGGTCCTCTCCGCACACCTTACAGCAGTCCTGGCCAAATAAGAACGGTGGTGCTCGCAATGACTATCACGGATGGCACCGTGCAAAATACGAAGTAAAAGAAACAGGTCACCAGCACTCGTTTAGAATAAATATGTCCTTTTTTAATGGACAATTGTGTCACTACAATCAATAGAGCCGACGTTTCGGGGCCGCACAGGGTCCCTTCTTAGTGACACAATTGTCCATTAAAAAAGGACATATTTATTCTAAACGAGTGCTGGTGACCTGTTTCTTTTACTTCGTATTTTGACCACTGAACCTGTCACACAGACAGTTGTAGGTCATAGCTTTATTGATGCAAAGCCTGTTAACAATGACCACTCAGTGTGCCTGTGTGACATGCGCAGTGACCAGGCGGAGACTTTTACTTAGTTGTGCTGAGCCTGAACTTTTAACAGCAGCGTCACTGAACTAAGTGTGTGGCCATCTTTGCTGCAGAGGTGGAGAGGGATGGTTATCTTGGATGGCATCCTCCTCTGGCACGGCCTTGTCCCCACTTTTTGTGAAATGACATCCCAGGAACTATAAGTATTGTAATTTCAGCCTGCATTACAGGACAAGTGGGTATAAAATCACATGCAACTGGATGGAGCATTTGTATTTATTCTGAAGCATACAGATTCATGTAGCAAAACTGCATTGGATACAAAGTAAATAAACATCAACGATTATGCTAAACCAGTGTTCCTCAAACCAGTCCTCTGGGCCCACAAACAGGTCATGGCTCCAGATCTTTTCATAGCATCACTAGTGAAATGATTAGGCCCCTTTCACACGGGCTGATCAGGAGAGGACCCATGAACGGATCCATCCTGATCATAGCAGTACAGAGCGGATGTCACCGCTGAGACATCTGTGTTCGTACAATTTTTTCCTCCATCTTGCAAATGAGGAAAAAACTGCAATTGCCGGACCCCATGTCGGTCCATGGGGAAACGGATGTAAACGGACATCCGGTATGATCCGGTTCGGCGTAACAGATCTCTGATCTGTTTGTTTTTCCAGACCCGGCTGGAGTCGGGGTCAACCGGGTGTAAACGTTTACACATCGCTGCCCATAGACTTGCACTGGGCATCCGATTGGGTCTGCCTGAAAAACTGACAGGCAGACCCGATCGGGGAGGCCGTGTGAAAGGGGCCTTAGATTGCTTCTTAAAACGGCAATTAACTGAATCACGAATGTACAAATATGGAAGTTCATGGAAATATGGAAAATATGACCTTTAAAGCTAATACAACATGGACACTGGATGCATAATGGCATCCAAATCCTGTTTTTTGGGCCAGAAGTCCACCAACCCACAAGGCCGCCTTGGTTGCCACAATACGGCACTATAATTACTGACATGTTTACTGAGCTGTTCAGGTTAGTATTTTATATCAAATCAGGTGCTTGGGGCAAATTCTAAAACTGCCTTCCAAAGCGTGTGGGTCTATTTATAAAGCAGTGAATGTGACTTTTAGCCAACATTCTCTGGTGGTGAATCAATAACTGTCATTTAAAACACATGCAACTGGAAGGTTCACCTGCAGTAAACATTTTCTGAATGTCAGATTCACTGCTTTATCAATATACCCATCTGTGTCTCAACTTTACAGTCTCTTGTAACATGCTTGAGGAACACATTGCTTAGCTGGCATAAGTATACGGAGAATGTTCCTCATGTGAATAGCACGATTCTGCACTGAAAGAGATTTTGCATGACAAAATGTAATTAATAAATGATCTATATGGTGTAGAGACTTCACACAAGGCATAGATGTTTCCAGCAATGTCAAGAGGGATTTCTGCATGTCCCACAGGGAAGTCAGCTTTGAAGTGAGTGGTCTTACTCTAAAGTGTACAGCTCTTCTTAGAGCAGAAATCATTTCGTTTTCAAAGTCTGACTAGGCTAGTATTCTAGCTGACTAGGCTGGTAATTTTTTTAAAGTGTAAAAATTAATCTTATAATTATCTTGATACTTAAAGACTGAGGTGAAAATCACTCTGCCTTAAATATCATCTCCAGCTAAGTGGAACCTTACTTTTTCAGCGTGGCTGCACTTGTATGCAGAGATAATAAAACAAGCCTTTGGCCAATATGTTATATCACTGGCATATACCCTCAAGCACTAGCTGACTGACTATGGAGCTGTCATACTCTGTATACTACCGTATCAGTTTCTCGTATTTTAACAGTTAGGGCTTCATGTATAATGCAGCGGGATGGTCCCACCACAGCCATACTCAAGCTTTAAAAAAGAAAGAAAAGAAAAGCAAGATTACCTCCCTACTAACTAAACAGACTGATTTGCTGTACAATTAACAAGCTGTAGGTAGCGAGGTGATCGCTGAACCTGCCTGACTGTGCAGTAAGGCAGATGTGTATACACTGCAAGGTTGACTGTACAAAATTTACATACAGCATATTTATTTAAAAGATGCAATTAGGTTTTTGTCTACAGTTTCACTTTAAAGGCAAGGTATGTGTGTCCCTTAGTAAAAAAAAGTACAACAGCAAAAAGTTTCCCAGATCACTCACCAGCCAGCATGCAAAAAAAACTTGTCTACCACTAAGGTTAAAAACAGAGGTTTAGACACATATCTTCTGCAGAATATGTGAAAGCCGCACCGCCTCGTCAAAAGCCCTTTCATGTGCACCTTGCTTTAAAGCTGGTGATAACTTGATGAGTGTGTTTGCCATTTGTTTTGCTTGACTGATTTGATGCAGTGCCATATTAGGGGTCTCAGCTGCCGTTGTGATGTGCGGTGTCCTTTGTGTGTCCCTCTTTGTGGCTGGACGTACAGTGTACGTCTCCCGTTACGAAGGGGTTAAGGGGGGTTGGGCTGCCTCCTGGCAAACCTGCACCAATTTTTATCTTTTGCTACACGTGCTCCAAGATGGAGACTCTCAAAGGTTAGAGTTAGGACCGCACTACATAGAGGTGCCTTGACGAGGTGGTGTGGCTTTCACATATTCTACAGAAGACGTGTATCTAAACCTCTGTTTTTAACCTTAGCGGTGAGACAAGTTTTTTTGCATGCTGGCTGGTGAGTGTGCTGGGAAGCCTTTTGCTGTTGTACTGTATAAAGCCCTTCCATGTGCACCTTGCTTTAAAGCTGGTGATAAGTTGATGAGTGCGTTTGCCATTTATTTTGCTTTAGTAAAAAAAGGGTCACAATGTGGACCGTCAAGTTTAGCTCTGACACCTTTTAATATTATCCAGCGTTTTTTTGTGGAGCTGCAAAGGCAGAGGTGCCAGCTAGGTGGCTACAAAGTCCGAGAAAGGTTACATTGGGGGCCTAGAAGGTTCTGAAAAAATGAAGCTATGATCGAACCATGCAAGGGCTCTTTGTCTCGGATTTATCTATTAAACACTGCTCAATATGTTCATTTCACCTTTTATTGTGAGGTATGTTGTATGTTCACCATTGGAGAGCACATCCCTTTACAACTTGAATTGGCTACACACTGTTTAACATCTGATACCTATTGTACATTTACAGTGACACTTTTCGTGAGAGTATTCCAGCACATAATACCATGAGCAGCAACTGGTATTTATGTGGGAAGTCAAAGCATATGTGCCGCAGCGAAGAATGGCCTCCAAAAAGGCACAAATGAACAAAATGCCTCCCATTAAATAGAGATCATTGTTATTTAGTGCTTCCTTTCCTGTAAGCATTCTAACACATAATATTATGAGCAGCAGCTAGTATTTAAAGAGCAGTTGAAGTCACACATCTTTTTAACTCTTTATAGTTCTATATATGTTATGATTTGTGACTTTTTTTATTTTAAAATAAGTTTTTCTCTTTAATATTCTGTATATATCTGACATTGTATCCAGCAAGTATTAATATAGGGGTGTATTTATAAACATTTTGCAGTCCTTTGTTCTGCAAAACTACATGTACGGTCATTCAGCACAAATGGAGGCAATCTGGAGTAGTTGCCCATGACAACCACTCAGCTTCTCTGCTTTATTGTCAAAGCTTATCTGAGCAAACTAAAGAGAGGAATGGATTGGTCGCCATAGGAAAACTGTCTACCCCAGTTTTTTTTTTATCCCTCCACCCCCCTCCCCCATGTATTACACATTTGTACTTGCCCAAATGCTCCGATACCGGAAATTCTGGTCAGAGGCAGATTTCCTCTGACCGGCAGTGCCGTAGGGGATCATGGAGCCGGCTTCCCGGGCAATAAGGAAGGCGGGTGGCGAATGTAATGACCCGCCTCCCTGATTGGCTGGAAAGCCTTCTTCCCGGCCAATCAGCATCGAGCTGGCTGAACAGCTGGCTCCTTGCTCATTGGCTGGGAAGCTGGCTTCCCGCCCAATCAGTTTTAAACCAGCCAAACAGGTGGCTCGATGCTGATAGGCTGGGAAGCCGCTTTCCAGCCAATCAGCATGGAGCCGGCTTCTTGGCCAATCAGGAAGCCAGGAGGCGGGTCATTACTTACTGCCCAGCTTCCTGATTGGCCAGGAAGCTGGCTCCATGCTGATTGGCTGGAAAGCGGCTTCCCAGCCTATCAGCATCGAGCCACCTGTTTGGCTGGTTTAAAACTGATTGGGCGGGAAGCCAGCTTCCCAGCCAATGAGCAAGGAGCCAGCTGTTCAGCCAGCTCGATGCTGATTGGCTGGGAAGCCGGTTTCCCGGCCAATCACAATCGAGCTGGCCATACAACATGGAGCCGGCTTCCTGAGCAATCAGGAAGTCGGGCGGCAAGTCATTACGCGCCGCACGGCTTCTTGATTGCCCGGGAAGCCGGCTCCATGCCAGCGGACGCACTGGTATTGATACTTAGTATAGGCGAGCATCGAAAGCAAAATATCGGTACTCGTACTCGATATCGAAAAAATGGTATCGGTGCATCCCTAATTGTAAGTATATTTTCTTTTCAGGATCAAATGTAAAATAAAGAAAATACTTTTTTATGGCTACTAGATGGAGCTGAGAAGTATTTATTTCCTGTGCTCCTCAGCACCATCACGTGGCTTTAATGTGGTCATATGGATTCTACAGGCCACCTCTATAAACTTCTTTAAAAAACTATGGCGAAACGCGTCGAAGAATGAAAAACTACCGATTTCTGATTGGAACATTTAACAATATGAAATTATGTAACAATAATATGTTGACTGATCTTAAAAATTATATATTGACTGATCTAATTTATTATGAATTTACAATGAAATCAAGAGTGTTAATTATTGCTATTTTGCACAATATCAATCTGTACGGATTCTTAGAGGTGACATGCTATTTATATGTACAATGGTCCTGTTTTTAGATGTGTGGTATGTCTTTTATATGCAACTTTTTGTTAATCATGAAATTATGTTATTAAATATGAATTTTACTATACAAGAATGAGTCATGTGACACTATGTTTAACTGCATTGTTTATGAGTCACCTATAATGCTATAAATATAGTAATAGCATTTGTTTTTGCCTCCATTCACACATAACAAATGTACATGCAGTGTCATATGACTGCATGTGCCCTGCAATTTTTTTAATGAATACATCCCTTACTATATAAAACGGTTAATTAGCTTGACAACCATAATCATTTTGATCTAAATAATTTGAATCATAATACACATCAATGCATGCTTAGATTAGATTCATATGGAGATAGCTTAAGAAAGGTTAGTAACAGAAGTGATTGTAGGCTGAAAAAAAGTTAGTTCTTTTCTCTTTTTAAAGACTTTTTTTGCTCTATTTAAACTTACGAAACTTTTAATGAGGCATTTTTTTCCATGAGCATTGCTTGTGCCTTTGCAAATTCTGCCATAATTGCTTGCTTCTCCCTGAGATGGGCCGCTGTTAAGCCATTCATATCCTCTTCATGTTTCTTGTTTAAATCTTGCTCATGTACCCTTTTTGTTAAGAAATGAAATATATTTGCTTACACAATGTATACATCTGCTATAGTTGTACCCGATCATAGAATTATTTGATAAGTCAATATACAGAAGAATTGCTCGGTAAAAATTGGTGCATAGGAAAGGTTACATTTAGTTACGTAGTAAGTCAGGTTGAAAAAATACACAAGTCCAGTGAATTCAACCAATAGAAAAAGAAAGAATAAATAAAAATCAGAACCCTATTCCAACAACTGATCCACAGGAAGGAAAATAAACCCATAAAGCATCATCAAATTTGTTCCAACAGGGGAAAAAAAATTCCCGAGGTGCAATCAAGCGTTATTCAGTTGGACAGAGGGGCTTGGGTAAGTTGTATACATTCTGCTTTTTTGATTGGATAATAAAGACTAAGGAAGAGATACAAGGATATTACTAGTATAGAACCTTCCTTAGCTACCAGTCCATTTTAGAACAGCTGGTGAACAAGAGATCCATAATATTATTGAAGTGCCCTGCCCTGCAAACTACAAAGAGTGTTAAGGGCTGCAGAGCAAGGCATCACCCTTTACATCGGCTATTTAAATATTATTCTTTAATGAGACAGCTATTCAGGCCAGTTACTGGGTGAGAGATGTTGTTTTATCCAATTGTTTACTTTGTGATATGATTCAGTGGGCAGCAAAATGCCTACCAACAATCTAGATTTTAGCAGGAACGTATTGATTTTACATGCCAGTAGATAGGGCTTTCCAAGTGTGGGTATTAGCTGCCCAAGCATAGTCAAATTAGGCATTTATGCATATCAGGAATGAGGATTTATGTGTCTTTTTTTTTTCTGAATGGATGGTGAGATAAATAATGCTAATGTATTGTGATCAATGCAGCATCTACCCTTCAGGGAGCACTGAACAGATCGAAATGTCTAAGCAGAATATGTTTATTAATGCAGACACTGCACACTCATATGCCATTCCTGAGCTGGATAAATATTGCAATTTGAGTAAGGTCAATAGACTGCACCTAGACTTGAAACAGTGTAGGGAAGAAAGACGTTGGGGAGAATTTATCAAAACTGGAGCAGAGAGAATCTGGAGCAGTTGCCCATAGTAACCAGTCAGCTTCTCTTTTCAGTTTGTTCAGTGAAGCTTTGAAAATGAAAGATGGAAGCTGATAACTTGTCATGCACGCCTGCCTGCTCCAGGTTTGATAAATAACTCTCATTATTGTTCAGGCATGCTCATATACCAGCTTGTACATATATCAGATCTTGACTTGGTGGAGCAACATTTATTACATAAAGGCTACTTTACCTAATTTGTTGGTTGGCCTCACTACGTATTCTAAGGATCTCTTTTCCCTTGAACTCCAGTTCCTTAGTAAGAGTGTTTATGCTCTCATGTAGTATCATCAGCTCCTTATTGAGATTAGCCACATGCTGTTCTTGATGTCTGAGCTGCTTTTCACGCTCTGCTATTCGCCCTAAAAGCTCAGACTCCTAAAATATAAAAATATAAAATTCATTTAATCGATTCTTTTATGTGCTTTAGTACTATTGTATTTTGCATCATTTCATAGCATTCAAGTCCAAAAGATCTGCTTTATAGAGCTGAAAACAGGAAATTAAATATACGCTGCACTGATAGATGCTGATAATAAGAGTTAGTGTTAACCATAATGTACCAATACAATGCAAGCAGGATTATATACACTGGTTACTACAACACATATATATGTTATATGGAAATTAATTGTATGTAATCTAAGGCTACGTAATTGTATTCATAGAGCAAACTTCTTATTAGTCATGCTATATAACCAAGATGCCCAGATACATGAGTTGCCCGGGTTCTAGGGTATAAAATCAGTCCTGCAGATATCAATGCTGAGGCTTTTTTTTAAAACAACTTCACCAGTGATGGGGTGGATTTTCCTGCTTCTGACCACTGATGCATTTTTCCTCCCACTAACACCAACATCATGGCATTGTTCTTCCCACTGACACCAATGACAGGGCATTATATCTCTCACTGACCAACAATGCCAGGTAATTTTTCCCCTCACTAACCACTTCCGCTGACGGTGACCCTGGGACATTTTGTCCGACCACTTATTAGCAACCTAAAGGGTGCAATGTTACATAATCTTAACTGCTATACTCTATAAGCTGATCTGCATGTTACTTACTCCTGACCCCTGCATCATAAATAGGCCATGACCTACGCATTCTGTATGTTATGTTGATGTATGATGTACATACATCTGACCACAGTACTCTGTTAACTGTACTCTGCATTACGTACTAACCAGATGTTTATTGTCTCAACAGTGGTTGGTTGGTAAGAAGCCCCGAAGTGTGTTCTTTTAATAAGATTGGCTAAGGAAAAGTAAAAGCTATTTGTCAATATTTTGTTTTCAGAAAAGCATATGCAATGAAAGAGTTTCCTTTTTGTGTTTATGAGAGAATGTCACTTGTAGCACAGTAATTAAGGCACATTTTGAGAGTACAACGACTGCAGCATATGTTTGCCCTGCCTACTGCAAGAAGGCTAAGGCCCGATTTAACGATGTGCCTTTAAGCCACGTACGACATTCAGTACACTTTTTGCCGTAGTGTGCCACATTTCATCCTTGCACTGAGGTGTCCTTCTTTTCCAAATTCTATAGTTGGGAGGTATGGAAAACCCCTGCCCTGCGCAGTGGCGTAACCAGAGTAACGGGTGCCCGGGGCAGAACAAAGTTATGCGCCCCCCTTGGTGTGCAGGTACAATGAGAGCATGCTGGGACATATCATGATTGAAATACAAGTCCTAGCATACCCTCATTGTCCCTCTACACCCCTCCCCCAAAATATTAACCAGAGAACTACAAGTTCCAGCATTCCCTCATTGTCCCTGTACGCCCCCAAATATCACCCAGGGAATAGAAACAAGTGGATTGGCAGGCTCCTGTCCTTCTTCTGTGCAGGGGAGCCCGGGTCTCTGTAGGGAAGGAGCCTGCCAATCAACTGGTTATCATGGCAAGTGGGCCATGATATTTTTTACTTTTTAATCACCTTTTTATTTTTTTAATTTAATATTTTTTTTCTTATAATTTTTTACTTATTTTTTGTTTTTCATTTTTATTTATGTAATTATTTTTTGAGATACTCTGTGAAAGTGGGAGGAAGGATCCCTTTGTGCTAGCAAAAAATAAAATGACCCAAACTGTGCATTTCAAGTCATTAGTTTAAAATTCTTTGTAATGGCTGATGTACACATGACATCAGAGTCAGAAGCAATTGAAATGGAGTATGATTTGATGCGATTTAAGAGGAAAAATTACTTGCTTCTGCATTACTTTGACTTGCTTCTGGTTTGTGCCAAGTTGCTCTTATATTTTTTTGAGCTGAAACTGAGCATCTAGACTTGTATGGGGAAGAAAAGAATCTCAGACAGAAACAAAACAAAAGCTCATCATTTACTAAGCAGGAGTTTTACAAATCATATTTTGCTCATTTAGGAAACATTAGACCTTAGACCTTGGATGCAGTGCTGATAAGCAATGGTTTAGCATATGCATTAATATGGCAAAATCAAGAAGACACATTTATATCTCCCTAGCATTGCACTGATTTACCTGATGTCTGCTGAGACCCTGATGTCTTTCAAGTTCTTCTGCAGCAGCTTCCATTTCTTGATGATGATGGTTTCTTAACTGGTCAATGGCTGCCGCATGCTGGTGATTGAGCTCAGAGCGCAGAGATGCTGCATTTCAAGAAACAAATACAACACTGTGTTTTATGTGTGCTCATGAAGAAAACTGACATATATAAAACACAAGCTACACTGTAATGCAACAAAGACATCTATTTTACAAAACCATCTTATAGTGTTAAAATACAGCAGAAACAATTTTTACATTTTTGAATGGGGGTGGGGGGGATTGGTCTTTAATCTGGACTTTTTTATTTGATAGCTTTCATTTAGTTAATTTTATTAGAAAGGAAGAGGTGACAATTAGAAAAAAAAATAGTATAATGAACCTTTCATGTGACTTCCAACCTTAGATATTTATACCATTATATAATCAGCAACGTCTTCTGAATACAAGGATAAAATATAAGTAATGTAAGTGTTTTTTTACATAACATAGTGGAGTGGTAAAGCTCAAAGTCATCTGAGTTGTAAAGCTCAACGTTTTGTAAATACAAGTATACCATATGATGGATTTTTACATAATTTGAGTACAAGTAAACCACATTAGTGATCTTTACTTAACAACGTAGAGCCTTAAAGGTCAAAGCTCACCTTTCAATTTAGAAGAGTTTTCCCTCTTTTGATTTTACATGCACATGTGTAAAAAGAAACTTTGTGCTTAAATCCAACATGAACTGGTGGGCTGGGTCTGTGTGTTAGTGCAGACTTGCATGAATTGGCACACAATGAGATCTGGGAGTCATTTTTTAATATGTTTTTTTGTTTATATGAATAGCAACTCAAGCAACAATTCAAAATATTAAGTGAGATAGTAATGCTATTCAATAAATCTAAAGTCAGAAGGATCAATCAGTTGACTTTATTCTATGTTCTCTGATGTCCAGTGCTGAACAAGCAAACATGTATCTTATACAGAGTCAGCAGGAGGGCAGTAAAAATTTTTTTTCAGCAGCCTGTGTTGACATCATCTCGCTCTGTTTCCTGTATCAAAAATATTGTAACTTTCACATTTCAAATGCAGGTTTTACTCTAATGGGTGGCCGTGAGAAACTTCTTAGTAATAGATTACTACAACTTCTATATGTAAGAACTTCCTACTATGGGACACTGATTGCTCGGTAGCCAGCAGCTGCCTGCATCCTAGCAACCAGTGATGCACCCCGACTACATTCAGCTGCGGGCCAGGGCATTCCTGGCCCTGCAGGTGAGTGTACACAACGGGGAAGGGCTGCTGGTGACATAGCATCGCTGCCCCCTTGTTTATATTCAGCTGCAGGAAGGACGCTGTCATTTGTGTCAAGGAGTCACCACCACCACCGCAGACCCTCAATCCACAAGGCAAGGGATGTGGGGAAGAGGCCTTTCTCAATATGGGGACATGGCGTAACCTCCCCATATTAAGGGCATGTGGCCTGGTATGGCTTCAGCAGAGGGTGGGGGCACACACTGGTGCCTACCCCTTTCCTGGACACCTATGCTGCATGCTCAGATAGGTGTCTACTACAGATTTTAGGGGAAAATGCCACATCCTTTTTTTTTTATTATGGAGTAAGGTTCCCCCTTAAATCCATAACAAACATTCACCAAGGATCTGGAACTGGTCTTTAGAAAGGGGAAAGCAGGCAGGGAAATGTAATTTACTGGCAAAGGTTTTTTATTTCCTAATGTTAGTTTTGCTGTAGTACATTGGATAAATTGGATACATTATACTGGTGCGCCCCTTCAAAGGCAAGTTTAGGGCATCCCCCAAGCATGCTATTTAAATTAATTTTGCATTGTTAAGGTTGCCCTTTAAGCATTATTAAAAAAGCTGGGCCCTACTGATGGATTTCTTTTTTTTGCATTAGTTCATGTTCTTCGGGGCAGTGCCCAGCTCCTCATGTCCTTCTCTTTACCAAAAGCATGCAAATTGGCCCTGAAAATGACCAGAAGTGATTTTAAAGATTTGGCTCCTGTTGACTTCAAAGAGGTTCAGATTAATGTTTAGAACTTTAGCACAGTTTGGCTGAGCCTGCGTTGAAGCAAACCTCATCCCTGTTTGTGACAACTCATAGGGAGGAATTTATCCAGACTGAAGCAGACAAAATCTGGAGCAATTGAGCATGGCATCCAATCAGCTTTTCTCTTCAGTTTGTTCAGTTAAGATTTGAAAATGAAAGACAGAAGCTGATTGGTTGCTGTACACAGCTTCTCCAGATTTTTTCTGCTCCAGTTTTGATAAATTCCCTTTATAGTATTTTATATAGACGTATCAGTTTCACAGAGGAGCAGTCATCTTGTTCAGATCTTACCACGAGTCATCATTTAATTCCCTGTTTAGCATGTATGGATGGAAAGGTTTGTCCTAGCAAGACCCATTTTTTTAAAAAACAATTTCTAGAGCTTCCACTGGTAATAGATCAGTATTGTAGTGATCTACTGTAGGCGTGAGGGCACATCTGGATCGCAATATGGCTGTCAGAACTCTAAATATCTTCAGAAGTGACATCTTCAGGATTTCCAGTGCGAATGCATTGTGTTTGCTTTGTGCTACAGAGAGATCTCTGGCCCCATTTACACTTCAGCTGAACGTCTTTGGTCATTTTTCAAGTGTTTTATGTATTTATTATAGATTTTTATATAGTGCATTTTATAAAACAGGCTTTCAGGGTGTGTTTCATAACTATATTTTTTTTCCTTCTTTTAAGCAGATTTATTCTTCAAGCTCCTAACATACAAGCATATGCAGATTACAGTGTTATCGTAATTGTCAAATCACTGATGCCTTCTAATATAATTTAAAAAGGTAAAACATACCTAGCATGGCTTTGCCTTCGTCTTCTAATTCAAAGCGCAAGGTCTGCAGCTCCTGTTCCATCTCCACTCGCAGCATGTCCATGACCTGCTTGTGGGCATCTTTTACAGATTGGAGCTCCTCTGAGTATTTTTGATGCAAGCGATCTTCCAAATCCTGTGTGGCGAAAAAAATAAAAATACCCAACACGAGAAAATAAGCAGCATGTACAATTCATTCTCTAGTGAAAGATAAATTGCATGTACAAGACAAGAAAATTGGGCAAATTATCTTAACAGAACAGAGCACTTTACTGCTAGAATAGCAATCTTCCTATAATGCTGTGCATCCAGTCTGCTCTCCTGATTGTTTTTTCTCTTTTCCTTTTTTTTTCTTCCTTAAAGCAAGCCAAGGGTTTGTCCATGAGGCCTCACAAACAGCATATTCTCAATGTACTTTCCGTCGCTGCTCCATCCCCCTTCCACACCACTCGGTTTGGCTGCTCGAAGCAAAGAAAAATACCTGATACTTCTCAGTATGGAAAAGCTTTTGACTGCCATGAGATGGCCCTGGGGCTTGGTGATTGGCTGCTCAGCCTTGTGTAAGCTCCAAGACATGACTCATAGTTCAAACAGGGCTTCCTCTGTTCACTTCTATTAGCTGAATTGAGAATGGGAGGTGGTTGGTGGAAGCAAAGTGATGCACAACGAAGGCACAGATTCACATTAAAGGGGACCTGGCATGTCTACCAAAGTATATAAACTAACATTACTGGCAAAGTGCATCTATTTATGTAAATATCTATTCCACTGTGTCTTGCGAGGACCCTAGATCCCAGGCTCAGGGTGTATAAAGAACTTTATTTCTCTTGGAGTTGATATTAATCTCTTCCTGGCAGCAATTGCAGGGTTACAGTGCTGAGAGCGCCTCCCCACAGCCTTGCTTCTGTTTTTGCAAGGTGCAGTCCGGGAATTCCAGGAAATGCGGTCATATCCCAGAGAGTGGTTCCTTTTATACTAAAGCACTCCCTCTGAACAGACTGGAAGTGGCCTGCAGTCAGATGACTAAAAATAAAGGTATTTACAAGGATATGTTTATAAAAATGTGCCAGGACACTGCATTTCCGGGAAGGTAACAATTATTTTCTGCACTTGCTAAACATGAATAAATAAATCTACCACATCTAAAAACTGGTACGCTGCAATATATTACATTTTGGTCTTGGGTTTGATACCTGTTAAAGCTGAATTCTGGGAAATAAAACTCCCCTTGCAGTGGGGCTGCTTGTTTAGGTCTAGGGTAGGAAAAGGACTTTTACTTACCTGATGCCCCGCTCCTGCAGGTTCCAAGACAGCCTTTTCCCCCCTATGCTCCAGCAGTCAGAGGTTTGCTTACATCACCTAGTCCTAGTACAATCGAGGGCATATACCTCTACTTAAACATCCATTGGAAGTGTACCCCGCAACCGCCACCCCCACACGTTTTTATTTAAATTTTTTTAAATATTGAATTTTTATTCTTTATAAATTTTATAATTTTTTTTAATTCATTTACTTTCAGCAAAATATATATTGCTGAATACTGCACAAGTTGTTTTGTGTAATAAATTAAAATGTTTCAGAAATGAAATCATTTTTGGGTCACGCCTTAATGACCAAGGAAACATGTGGGTCCCGAGGTTACACAGGTTGAGAACCACTGCTCTACTTTATACATGAGAACACCGAGGGACAGTCCACAAGTAGGTGAGACAAGATGACTGCCGACTGCTGGAGGAGCGGGATCAGGTAAGTAAAACGGCTTTACCCAATACCCTAGACCTAAGTAAGCATTTAAACCTTGCAGTGTGGGGGCAGTGTAGAATTTAATATAAGAGCAAAATGTCTGGTGAGAAGAAAAATACCTCATTAGAATATTTAAAATAATACAAAAAATATATTTACACCTAAACCTCCACAATGTGTTCTATGGCAAATGGCAGCCTTATGCAAGAATGAAACAGAAAAAAGAATATAAACTTGCTTTTTGCTCTTGGTCCTTTGTTTCCTCCATACTTTGGAATGCTAACATGTGTGCTTCTTGCAGTGACTTCTGCCTCTGCTGGTGCTCCTTCTCCAGTTCTTGAAGCTCTCGAGTCAGACGTTGTCGCTCTTGACTAAACTGTGACTGCAGCTGCTGCAAAGCATTCTGGGACTGACACAGCTGCATTTCTAGGTTCTGTTTCAGCAGCGAGATCTAGCACACATAAAAAAGACAGACAGTAAAAGATCAGATTGACAGGGAGTAAGTGCAAAAAAAACTATGCTCTGATTGCAGCTGCACATTTCCATTTCAATGAGGCACACTTTTTCCCTTTCAAAGCTCTTCTTCTGTCACAAGTGCATACTGTAAATTATATTATATTCCAAAGTAATACTTCCAGGCTGCTATTTTTTGCGTTGTGATTATTAAAATCAGCATTTCAATGGTGCACTATATTTTGGTTTGTTTGCTTTTAAGGAATGTATTCCGAAACCCCCTTAAAGTGGAACGATACTCACATGTTATAAATGTCATAGTAGCCTGAAGCAGATGCATGGTCGCTTCCAAATTTTACACATGAAAATTATGGATCAGAAGATGGGGGCCAGTATAACGTAAATCATTTTTCTTACACCACCGCATCTAGAGACCTTTAAATCCCAGAGTTCTTCCTAACCCTTTATTAACATCCTTTCTGGGAATGACAGTCATAGAAAGACTAAATACTTAATAATAATGACAGTGACAGGGGGTAGGAAATATTATCACACTGATGTGGGTGCTTACAGACATTTTCATTTATTTTAATGGTTTAAATCTTTATTTTTATTTTAATGCCTGTTGTAACTGCTCAAGCACACCTTGGAATATTTTCTGCATTCCTGTGCTGAACAATATCACCACATGTATAAGTCACATACAGTTATTACATTTTTCAATGGGGTTCTTAAAAATTACAGAATTTTTCCAGGTATGCTGATAGTGGTTTAAACTGCTATCAGGCTGAATTTTTGCATAGCCGGCATAGGCCGTCCACACCAGCAGAAACTGTGAGACAAAGCAACCACTGACAGGTGGAGTAATATAGCTACCTTAACAGGTAGAACAGACTAACAGCAAAAATTATCAGGGAACACTAGCAGGGTTATTCAGTAAGCTGCCGAAGGCAGCCGGGTGAATAACAGAGCTGAAGTGAACAGAGCCGAACGACATTTGGCTATTCACTATAGCTCAGTACGGCTGATTTCAGCCGTACATCGGCTGGAATCAGCTGTACATCGGCTGCCTTCGGTCAGCCAAACATGCTCTGCAGAGGGACTTCGACTTAGCCGATCCAACATCTGGATCAGCTGAGCCAAAGCTCCGGCAGCTCACTCGCTGCCATTCACCCCTACAATTGGGCGGAGCTAGCAGTGACAGCTAGCTCCACCCAACTGTTTCACTATTGGCCGGCACCTGCCAGAGTCTTCTAGCAGTTCCCGGCCAATCAATAACAACTAGGCGGAGCCGGCCGTGACGTCACTTTTGTGAATAGCCCGTACAGGGACTATTGTGAATAGCCCGTACAGCAGCCCTTCGGTTCAGCTAAAGAGCTAAAGCTACGGCTGTATCCTACGGCTCAATAGTGAATAACCCCCTAGAAGATTTCTGAGCTTCAAAACAGATCCCTAAGGGAAAACTGGTAAGACCAGCTGGCCTAAGGTTGACAGAAGGCCTTAAAATTTTGAGCTTAGGCATCAGGGAAGAAGGCTTCAAGAAGAAACAATAGGATAGCCATCCAATCTCGTTGCAGATTCAAGTTATAGAACTAACATAATATCCTAAGAGGATGATCGAGGACCTAAGGAGTTGGTGACAACTGCAATGGAACCAGCTTAAAGGGATAGTTCAGTTGTTGTTTTTTAATCCATTAACATGTCTGACCCACAAAAGGGAAAAAAGGGTGCAAGAAGTACCCCATCCCCAGAAAAATAGAAAGGCATAGGAGGAAAACACCCCATACTGGTGCAGCAACGTCAGAAAACAGCAGAATGAGCAAAGTCATCCTCAAGGACAATTGACGGTGTTACTAGAGCCTTACAGAGAGAACTCCTTTCAGGGCCTGTCATCCTGATAAAGGACATTGGAGTACAAGTTCCCTGCTCCGCCTCAATCCAGCAAAGTGTCCACAGCTGTTAAGCGAAGGGGAAAAACTTTAGCCAGAGAGCTAAGAATGATCACCTGATAAATGACAGGAGCAGAGGAAAAAATTGTTAGAAACTACCCATAGATTTTGTGAATCAGCCACAGTAGGAGGAAATGACTGATACCTGAACCCACGAAAACCTCTGGACTCATGCTATGCCCCACAGGGAGTGTCTGCAGCAGGGCAGCATTGTGAGCTGTGTGCTGAAAACATCATCAACCCCTGAATCCCAGATCCTAGAAAAAAACTGAGGCATGACAGCTAGGGGTGGGGTTATATCGTAACTGGCTGTCAATGGTTTTGGAAGCATCAGGTCTTAGAATTATCATATTCCTGTGTCCCTTAATGAAAGACAAATGAAAGCATTCCTGTGCTCAACGCTAATATTATCTGTAATATTATCTGTAAAAGAATTGTATGCCTACTTAGATCCCACACTAAATAGGAGTGTATTCATAAACCTTAAGGGAATTCATGTTCAATTGCTGCACTGAATTGAATGACATTCACCAGCAACATTCACATTTAAAAGTGGCAGAATATTTTGTCCACGAATGTGTATTTCAGTAAAACAGTATGAAAAAACTTCTGATTCAGCATGCAGCCAGCAGTGCTGAGGGAGCATGGAACTGGCTTCCCCCCCCCTCTGGGCTTCCTGATTGGCTAGGAAGCTGGCTTCACTTGTTGCAAGGCAGCCTGGCTTCCTGACCAATCAGGAAGCCAGGAGGCACGTAATGACCAGCCTCCCAGCGTCCTGATTGGACAGGAAGCCATGCTGCACAGCAACAAGTGAAGCCGGCTTCTTAGCAGATCAGGAAGCTGTGAGGTGGGTCATGACCTGCCGCCCGGCTTCCTGATTGGCTAGGAAGCTGGCTTCACTTGTTGCTAGGCAGCTTGGCTTCCTGAAAAATCAGGAAGCCGGACAGCACCTCATGAATTGCCGCCCATCTTCCTGATTGGTCAAGAAGCCAGGCAGCCTCTGCAAGTAAAGCCGGTGTTCTTTCGCTAGAACACCGGCTTCACGGGCAATCAGGAAGCCGGGTGACAGGTCATGATCCGCTGCCCGACATCCTGATCATCAGGGCACACGCCACAGGTACTCGGTAAAAATCAAGCATTTAAACTGCCTTATTAATTAAGTAAGGTGTAAGATACTGGCTCACATTATCAGGCTGTGCTACGGCTCTAAAACTGGATTGTTCTCTGCAGGATAGTAATACAGTAAGCTAGGGACCGAGAAGTGTAATAAGACAGAGTCCATTGTATAAAGGTTACATAACAAGATGTTAACCATAACAGAGACTTCTATACAGAATGAGATTAGAAAGACTTGGTCACACAAGAGACTATGCCATGGTTCTGAAACTAAAATATGGTCTGTGGCTAACAGACTAAGCACACAAGGCACTGCAAAGTGCCATAATGCAATGTCCATTGCCGAAGGAGAAGTTTTAGGTAGCTGTGCTTAAGGCTCATGAGATGGAAAAGGATCAGAGAATCTGCCACATCAGCAAGTGTGCCATGGCTCTGAAACCGGAAAACAGTCTGTGGCGCGGCACAGAAGAGAATGGAAAGCACCACAATACAGAGTTAACTGGGCACAAAATAAATAAGCTTTTCCCCAGTCGGAGGGTTACTCATAAAGAGGTGGTCCAAAGACCACAACAGCCACTACTCAAGATCTGGGAAGCAACTAACTTCACCATATCCCAGGGCTTACTCACAGAGAGTTCACACCGGAGGCTGTGCCACGCCTCTGGAGAGTGTTCTCCATCTAATTAACACAGTACACAAAGATCTGGAAAGTGCCAGAAACAGAGCCCAGTGCCCAATGGTCACATTACCAGCTAGCCCCACAGTTATCTGAACAATGGGGTTTAGTTAAGGTCTCCAAAGCTATTGCTGAGGAAACGCCTAATTGGATACCTGTAAAGAGACCAGTTCAACCAGCAAAGTAATCCACCTGATTTGAGAAAAAACATCTGTGGAGTACCAAATATATTGATATAGAATAGTTGGGATATAGTTAGGATTTTCCTTAGCAGAGCTGAGGAAAATTAGTTCAACCTCCTAGGACACATGGAAAGAACTGAGGCATGCCAGTTGAAATCAAGGTTACATGGGGACTGGCTTAAAAGGTTTTTCTTTGCCAGTGTCCAAACCTCCTGATGCTGGCAGTATAACCAATATGTCCAAGAATTACTACATTCATGTGTCCCTTAGTGAACAATAAAGAAATTATCATGTCATTACAGCTCCATAAAACTGATGTCTACGGTATATTGATCATTTCACACGAGAACCAAATAAATGCCATCCAAAGCATGCTTCTTATCAGGCTCTTAACACAGCCAGCCTTCTGTAACATCACAAAGCAAATGAATTTACAGCTGCCAAAGCAGGATTTAGGACTCTAATGTCTAATGTAAACTGCAGTACAATCAATAGATTCCTCTGCTGCTGATCCACTTTCAGAGAGATTGATTTCCAATACTTAAGTATACACAGAATAACGCCAGTGCTATTGCATGTAGCGAGTAAATGAATGTAGCAATTTAAAGCAAGCAGTCTGTGGACAAGCTGCAGTGCACATGATGATGCAAGCATGCGTTTATGTCAACACTGTATGTACAGGTGACTTACATTACTGATGGATTTATGTAAAGCTTCACCCAGAGAGTGCCGCTATGAAGAAAAGATCACAACAGTAAACGGAAACATTCAGACATCAACACAGCAAAAGGAAATAACATGTGGACAACATATAAAACGATTGTACATGCAGCCAGATATCACAAATAGGACATATGCAAGTAAGACAAAAACTGAGCAAGACTGAAAATGGATATTATTAAAGTTGATGGTCCATAATAAGACAGACACAGTGGTCTATACCACACTAAACCTGTATGGATCACATATTTAATATTTACAGTATATAACTGACAACCTATGACCCATCAATGATAAGGAACAGCAGTTAGTCGTTAATTATAATTATAATAAGCATGGGCTCAGAAATACTTCC